GATGTTTTGCTTGCTACCTCATTCTCGTGGCAGGGGGTGTGTGCGTGTTTGAACAACCAAGAATGCTTTAAGCTTGGAGACTCAGTACAGCTGCTTTATGCACTGCTACTTGCACATCTAGGGAAAAATAGGCTTGATTGAGTGCTTAAGTAAGTGTCATACTTTGTAAAGGCCTGATACAGAAATCCCTTCTGGGCAGGGAATAGCTGTACCAGTTGAAGCAAAAATAGATGAGAAGGAGTGGACAGAGGGCTGAGAGTTACCACCCTTCATGCAGAGTTGTAGTTTGACACTGCCTTGTGGATGAGATCTCCAGTCTTACAAGGATGTGTTTTCTAGGTGCTGTTCTAATTGCTCTGAGCTTCCTGGCCAAGGGGGCTTGGCTGGTAAGCTCAGTAGTTAAGTATTTACACTGCCCACTTTCCAGTAGTGGTGAACTACTGCAGGCTTGATCCCTGATAGTTTTTATTCTTGAAAAATTGCTCCATTTGGCTAGGGTGGAGATCTGAAGGAGGAGAGGAGCTGTGGAAAGTCAAGGTTCAAGGAAAAGTCTGTCTAATGTACTTCAAGGTACAAATTTTGAAGTGAATTTGTATGCAGTTAGGTTGTGAGACCTGTGGAGCAAGAGGCTTGTTGGTACAAATGTGTTATTTCTACAACTGCTGGGCTACAGCTAACCATGTACAGAAAAAAACCCACCCCAAACCCAAAAGACACCAAAGTAGTGTTGTAGTGTTTACTGGTTAAGCTTACTGGCTGGAATTAGGTAAAGATAGCTTCAGGAAGATGACTAAAAAGGCCCGTTTGTTGAGTGGCACTGCCTCTTGCTTACAGCGATCATGAGTGGCAGTAATATTTTGACTGTCTGTTAAGCTTGTGTCTGGAGTTAGTTGTGTTAGAGCAGTTGACTGGGGAGGTTGTGGGTTGCACTGGTTTGTTGATAAATGAAGATGGCAGTGAAATGTGACAAAGATAACTCAACCCCATGACTAGAGCAGAAGAGAGTGGGGTGTAATTTTGGTAGTCGAATAGCCATGTTGGAAGACCTTCCAAATACAGACAAGTGCCCAGGAGAGTAGTATTGCATTCTTTCCGTGCTTCAGGTTTCCTTCCTCGCTGCAAGAGGAGGAAGATTTAAAATTTCCTATAAGGTTATCCTGAGGTAAAGTCTTACTTGAGAATTGTAAATAATGCAGTTTGACTTAGTCTTGGGTCACTGAAGTTCTAAGCACAGAAAAAAAAAAATTCATTGGCGTATGTACTCAGTTTAATGTTGCCACAGCATCTCGGGTAACGAGTATTTCCTTATTACTATTTAGACTGACTTATTCTACTTGCTGAGCCAGTTGCTTTGCTTGAATGGTACCAACTTTCTGTAGTGTTATGGTGGTAGTATCTGGGCTGAGTAACTTTGGGCTGTTCATTCTTTGTCTGCTTTCTCCTTTAAATTCATCATTTTGAGCTCCAAGCTGGCATTAAACTTAAACCTCTCTGTGGCTTTCTACTGGACAGCTCTTGATGGAAAACATGGGTGTTACTGGCAAAGGCTTTGTCTAACCGCATAGTTTTAATGGTTTATTAGTGGAAAAAGGAACTTTCTTTTTGTAGTGTCAGAGTTGGGGTGGTGGGGAGAATAGATTTTTCTCTTGGCTTATCTTGTCTACATGTTGATGTTATGTCAGATGTAGCCTGCCTGTCTCCCTGAGTGCATGCCATAAGCCTAGTAGGAGGATTGGGGAAACCCCGTTTTGGAGGCTGTCCTTGCAATCCTTATCAAAACTTGGAGAAGCTCCAAACTAGCTCCAAACCTGTGCCATTGAGTTGTTAGTTTTGACTTCTACATGACTGTGCTTCTGTGGGAAGAGGTTGTACTCAAAATCTCCATCCTAAATTGTTTGTATCTTTTAACATTTGCTGCCCCAAAACTATGGCATTTAAATTCTGCAGGAACAGAAGTGGACTACTGGGGCTGAGACTGTGGCTTTGTGTTTTCCAAAGCTTGTTAAAGATGTGGGGAGCATCTGTGCAGTTGATCTCAAACTTGATGGGATGTAGCAGCCATATGCTTCATTGCCTGGGAGGTTCATTTTTTTTGTCAGCTTGGGTCTTGGTTTTCTCAGGTGGTGTTTTTTCCGATTCCTCCTGTGAGGAAGAGGGGGAGTTGTCAGACTTCCTAAAGTGTGGAAAAGCTTTTATTTTTTTATTTTTTTTAGCTAAAAATGTGCAAGTTAACCACCTGTTAGCTGGTAGATGCAAGCCAGCTTGACCCTTTCCTCTTAGCTTGCTATTACTGTTTTCCCCAGGATGCAAAGATATTTCTGGCTCTTCTCCCCTATGTGTGTTTGGTGCCATAATGTGTAGTGGATCTTCTTTAGACTATGACGTGAATCTGTTCTTCTACAATGCACCATAATTTTTATCCTATACCTATGTATGTTTTAAAAATGAGGAACTTGGGGAGAAATCTGTTTAAATTAGTTTGCTTAAAAGATTTTTCTCTGCTTGTAGGCAGAGGCTTAAACTCTTAAATGAAAACCACGTAGAAGGATTTGAAACTTTGAGTGTTCCTTTCTCATGGCAATATGGCCAATTAATGATTTCTTGAATGTGTTGGGACTTGCCTATGCACTAAGTTAATGAAAAAAGGCAATTCTGTGGTAGCAAACAGTCACACCCTCAAGTAATCTGAATTTTCAAGTTTAAGCAAGTTCTGCATTTCCATTTTGAAAGCAATTAGGGGACTTCACCATGTTCTATCCAGTTCAACAGAAGAGTCCGCTTTTGAACATGTGTGCAGCTTCTGGAGTCCGGAAGCAAACCATGCAGATAACTTGAAAGGTTCCAGCTAGAACATGGGAGCTGCTAAGTATCATTTACCTGTCCCTTCCCCAGTAGCTCCCTGCTAGTGAGGGAGTCGGTGCCATGCAGCCCTACTGTGTGAGAACTCTTCTGTTAGATGCTTAGAAGACTCCTCCTGTGTGTAATACTGCCTCATATAATGAGTGGCTGCAGCAAGGAGCAAGACCAGTGTATGATAGAGGGCAGGAGCCAATATCCAAAGGTATGGACAACAAGGCTCAGGAGAGCTGCTGCACTTCTACAACTGCTTGAAAGTGGTCCTGGAGTGTGGTTGACAATTTTAGAATTTAAAGTCAGATCACTCTTGAAGTGACTTGAATCAAAATGATGAGAGTTTGGTATGTTCTTTAGACAGTTTAGGTTGGGGCAGTTGTCACAAGCAGTAAGCTATCACTGCACTAAAAAGCCCTGGGTACTGTGTGTGCACTTGCAGCTAATGCTTTCTTGCTGCTCTGGGGGTGAGGTTTTGCTGTTGAGGAGGGAGTTTAGTCTACAGGCACAAACAATCCCTTCTGGGTGGTGGTAAGATTTGCTGGGCAGTTGACTGAGGTGAGTCCCTGGATGTACAGAACCAGTTTTGATTGCTGTCAGCCAGCAGGGATTTGAACTGGTTGCCTGGAACAGAGGGATACTCTTTGGTGACTCTTTCTGCCTTATGAATAAGCAGTGCAAGCAGCTGTGACTTGTCTGGAAGCACTTGTAGGGTAAAGGAAGCTTAAGACCACAAGCTATTCAGCTGCATCTCGATGCTGTGCTTGGTGGTGGTAAGATATTGCAGTTTTGAAGTCTGGCCAAGGAGGATGGAGGTGGGATTGATCTGAAATAATCTGCTGTGCAAGGTGTTCTTTCTTTTCCAGGCTTAGGGTTCTGGTGTGCATCTCATCTGCTGTCAGATTGGCTTTGTCTTAAGACCTTTGTGAAGGCTGTATTTGCTCAAACAGAAGGTATTTAGATTTGCTGCCCCAGTCCTTCCAGTTGGTGAACTTGTGCCTCCAGCTTCCTTCCAGTTGTTTGTTGAACCAGGTGTCTGCTCCACAGCCTCTTCCCTTGCTCTGAGCTTGACCTGCTTTCCTTGTGCTAGTGGGAAAAGTAGGGCACACTTCTAGCTTTGGGTATTATTGGACAGGAAACAAAGACACTGGATTTTTATTACCCCCTCCTAAAAGAGCTCACCTGTGATGAGGAAGTGCTTCAGGAAGCAGTATCATGATGCTGGGAGCCCTGGTCTGTGGGAGGGTGGAGGGCAGGCCTGGGGTCTGTTCTCTTGATACCTGGGGAGATTGGTTTGGCTGCAGATGGGCTCCTAATGAAGCCCTTGGACAAGATTTTTTTTCTGTGCTTGAACATAACAAAGCCTCAGACACACAGCCTGTAGGTTGGTTTTATTTTTGTGTGGGTTTTTTGTTTTTTTTTTTTTTTTTTTAATTTGTTTTGGTTTTTTTTCCTGTGTTTAACATGAAAGCCAACAGGTTGTTTTGGAGATGATGCTGTGCCTGAGTGGCAGCCAAGTTTGACCTGGCCTAGGTTCTCTGCACACCATGGGCACTATTATTTGAGCTGCATGTAAACTATACCAGTGCTGTTTCCTGGACGTGTGTGTGGTTGGGATATAACAATTCAGTCTGGAAACAACTTGAGCTGTTAGTTTTTGAAAACTGCTCATTTTACATTCCCGTAGCCTAGTGTTAGTGCTGTATCTTGCTGGCCAGTTGATGGCATTGATTGCTGAAGGCCAACAATCAAAACAGGATCCAGACCTCTTCCTGCTTACACTGCTTAAAGTAGATGCATTTTCCGGGTGACCTGCTTCAGGATTTTGTCTCCACCATTGTGGGTAGATAGTGATGGTGGTAGTTGCAATAATATTGGTTAATAATCAGCTGTTACTGAAGCCCCAGATTTGTGTTCTGTCACTAAAGCTTCTAGGGAACTGATGGGTAACTGTTGTTGTAAAGAATAGACAAAGATTTTTGTCCTGACCTACCTTGTCTGAATCCTAAAAATAGAACAATGCTGCTCGTATACAGCTTGTCACAGCTTCACAGCTGTATATGAATAACCTATTTTGTGACATGCTTTCGATCTTTTTTTGCTCCAGTCTTAATTTAACCTATAATACTGTTCTTCTTCATTTCTTTCAGAATGGACTGCTGAATTTGGAATTATTGCAGACTCAACAGTACAGCACAGCTCATTGTTTCGTCTATTACTAGTTATTTAAATTGGACTTTTAATATCCTGCCAGCTGCTGTTCACACACACATGGTGCATTGTTGCCATTCTCAGAATTGCATCTTTGAAACCCAGACCCTCAGTAACCTTCATCGAACAAAGAGGCGACCTCCTGCGTACGTTCATAGAGGGATTTTTCGAACCTGCTGCCCTCTAGCTTTCTTGCTGGTGCTGTATTTGTGAGACACCATGGAGCCCACTATGGAGTACTGCTTAGCACAGGTGCTGCAGAAAGATGTTGGAAAGAGACTTCAGGTTGGCCAGGAATTGATAGATTACTTCTCAGATAAACAGAAGTCAGCTGATCTTGAACATGATCAGACTATGCTGGATAAAATGGTTGATGGACTGGCCACTTCTTGGGTCAATTCCAGCAATTATAAGGTAAGACTTGTCAAATGGAATGTTGTTGCAGTCAGAGCAGTGTAAAGTGCTGCCTGATCTGAGTGAAAGTTGCAGGGTAGACTTCCTAATATACTGTTCTTTAAGCTAATAATTATGCTGACTCAACCATTCTTGGCCCATTTCTTGGTAATTGATAGCCAATATGATATTGAGGACTCAAGGCACTAAGAATTAAGTAAATGGGGTTTTAATAAGTGGGTTTACATGTGGTGGTTTTACGTTGGTATTCTGGTTTCTTTGTGTATCTTACTAGCTGATGGCATGCTTTGATTATCCCATAGTTAGCAATGTTGATGATTTCCTGCCTTATTAAGGAATTTAGTAAAACTTCAAAAAGCATTTATAAACAGCAGTATTTTTCACTGTCATTAAATCCTGCTGGGTTTAAAAGTGCTCTGGACTTCAACATCCTCAGATTAATTTAAACTCTTAAGAGGAATTTTGATTGAGAGGTAGTTGTGAGTTTGCATTGTATTGGTCAGTGTGTTCTGCACAGCTGTATTTTCTCGTCATTTCTGTCAACAGGCAGCTGTGGTAGAAGCTATTTGGCACATGGGAACAACAACAACAAAAACCCACAAAAAAAACCCCAGCAAACCGCCAAAGCCAATACAGTCTCAGTAGAGGATCCATGTTCTTATTCCTCCTTTTCTTGCAGACTGGCTCTCTTGCAAACTTCCATGATTCTCTGTGGAATGGTAACCCAAGCACAGCAAATTTGAAATTGTTAGGAAATGTGTTGTTTGCATGTATTTTATGATGTGGATTGCAGAGCTATGCAGCACTTTGTAATTTCAGTATCACACTTAGTTTGCAGAATTTCTTTCTGGATAACTTGTCTCTCTTCCTACCCTCTTTCCCAGTCTTTTACACACTTAGTATTCACTGTGGTATTCACTCCAGTAACAAACTGATGGCACTTCTGTACTGCAGTGACTGTTCCAGAGCTCATGCTGCTGAGCTGGCTGTTCATTAATGTGAATGTTCTATAGATAGCATTTGCTGTGTTTAATAGGTTCTGGTAAGCATAATGGAGACACAGCTTGGATGTCTGGAGGGTGTTTTCTCAGTGAATGAGTGTAATGGAGGATGTGAAATATTTGAGTAGGGCAAGCTGATTATCTGGAGGTTAGTGATGTGGTGAGGTCTGCTTACAGTATCTAGCCAAGGCTTAGTGCATCATCATATGCCAATCTCTTGCTTTTGTGTTAGTGCCTGCATCTGCATTATTGTTGGCTTTCTTCTTAACTGCTTATGGGATAGGGATTCAGGAGCTCAGCTCTGTCTGGTGTGAGGGAGAACAGGGTAGCTTGTGTTATCTGATCCAGTTCATGGATTAATTTAACAGCTTTGAGAGTGAAAGGCTGAGCATCACTGCCCTAGTATAGCCATTTGGAGAGGTAAACTACAGTTTTTTGGTCACAGTTGAAAAAGCCATTATATTTGCAGTCTGTTTCTCTGCTCACCTCGCTCCATTTGAGAAAATGTCAGCCTAAAACAAAGCTTGAGATCATCTGCACAATGTGAAATTTCCTAACTCTACAATCATAAAGTGTATGCTCTTGGAATTAGACTGGATTTAGATAAGAGACCCATTATCTTGGAACAGCATCAAGTTGATTCATGGCTTCTGCCTATCTAGGGCTCTTCTAACTAAGCACTTATGCTTATATGTTATCACTGAAGAAGCATCAGCGAGAACCGAGGAGCAGTGATCTCTTGAGGCAATCCAGTTTAGTGTCTATTAAAAGGAGCAACAACTGATGATGAAATGACTCTGTCTTTACAGGGAGGGTTCAGGCTGTCTCCCTTACTGGCATACAAGTGTGAGCTATGTAAGTTGTGACCATCACTGACATTTTTAGGCTTTGGTGTCTTTTTTGTACAGTATTTCTTATTTTAACCTGACACTATTTTATGAAGTCTTTGACTTCATCCCTGGGAATGCAGGCTATTTTCTCTTTCAGCTGAAGAAACAAAAAAGCAATGATGGAGGGGGAAAGAAGTGCTTCTCTTTCCTTGTTGCTGTCCAAGTCTGCAAAAACATAGTGTGTGATACAGTGAGACCTGATGTACTTCTCATAGCACTAGGCACTCCAAAACTCCTCTAAGAAGTGGTCTTGAGACCTGGTCGTTGATCTCTGATTTATAACAGGCAGCTGACTTAGGTGAAGAAGGCACGGAATGTTTTTCGAGTCAAGGAAGCATAAAGGTTGCTGTATGGAGCAAGGAACTGAGGTCCAGTGCAAGGCCATCTGCGTATCTGTGCTTGCAAGGACCAGGCTTGAACTGCACCCAACAGGCAGTGGTCTGGCCTGTGATTTCCCAGCAGTACTTGTAGGTGGGTGGAAGACAGAAGAATGCTGCAGAGAGAAAATTAATTTTTTGAGAGCTCTTGCTCCTCTCTGGAGCTCAGTTACTTGGCACATACAGCCTGTGTTTGCATGGGCACTAGGGGTTGTGGGGTATACTAGCAAGGTTGGGCTGGGGAAGATATTGCAGGCTGCTGCAGACCAAATCCTGCCTCTTCCATTTCTTCATGTGCTTTGTTTGGTCTGTGCTGTTTCAGGATGGTGGTTCTGCTTGGCTCCATTTCTTCCTCTGCTAAGCTTTGACTTGCACTGAGCTGTCTCTCTTGAGACATGAAGCAAAACAATACAGCAATGTCAGGGGCTTCAGCATGTCCTCATGCTTGACAATCCTATAGCAAAGGGGCAGAGCTGAAATAGTCAGTAGTACTTAGTGAACAATCTCACTTTGAGCTGCTTGTGGCATTATTTTGAAATGTTAAGTATGCAGGATCTCCTGACTCATTGGTGACCAGTGCATCTTTTTAGGATGTGCCATTCATTAATTTTTCATTTTGAGGTATAGTATAAAGGAGTATGTCCAGGATCTCAAAGTAGTTTTCTACTAGCCTGGTGTTCCTAGAGGTGAACTGAGGATGTTTGGTAGTGGCCTCCTCTTGCCTGCTTCTCCACATCAAGTGAGTATTGTACTGTTGCACCCATCTAGCAGTGGGGATATGAGATATCTTGCACCTTTCTTTTCCCTGTGGTGTGGCCTGTGCTATTGGAGTTGAGGTTTACACTGGAAATAACTGTTGGTATTGCTGGTTTGCTTTTGACTAGCAACACCCAAGGGTGAACTCAGAGATTTGATAGTGACAGCCTTTGAGCAGGTCAGGGTCCATCAAATTGAAGAGATGTACTACTTAAGACTTTCTTATAAATACCACAGTGATAGGAGAGACCAGTTTGAAGTGAAACCGAGTGGAATAAAACTTTTGGTGTGCTTTCCTGCACTTGGGCAAGTAGTGATTATTTTTGGTGCTGCGCTATTCTCGCTCCACAGGCTGTGCTTGCCAAGGAGAATAGCTCACCCTTGTGTGGGATGATCCCTTTGCCCCAGTGCAGCTTGGTCTGTGTGAGGTGCTGTGCCCAGCAGCTTGCAGGACTGGGCTTTGCCTATCAAAGGGGAGTTAGGGATTGCAGTGGTTAACAGACCCAGGTGGCTGAGGATGCTTCCGCTTGTAAAGGCCTGGCTGAGCAAGTGATGCTGTGCTGGCAGACCCAGTCTGTCAGGGTGAGAGCTGTGCATGCAGGGTTGTGTCATGTGTGCAGGACTTCAGATCAGACTTGTTTAGCTCACAGCTGATCTTGTTACTTAGAGGTTGCACTCTTTAAAATGCATTGTGAGGTATTGTGGAGAAATCTGTGTGGTGAAATATTGCAGGGAAATTTTATTTTCCCTGAGAGAACTCCTAATAGTGTTAGAGACAGTAGCCTTGCATTCTGAACTGTTTCTGAATATCAAGCATTACAAGAGCATGCTTGACTGAGCTGAAGAGAAGTAGAACTTATATGCATAAATTAGCTGGCTTTTTTAAACTGTGTATTGAATAATTTTTTTTGGCTTTGCTAATTGAGGGGTAGAACAGATGGTGCAGGCTTAGTTTAAAGTGACATCCATTAGAGTTACTTAAGCTGTTGAATAGCTGTTCACTATAAGCACATGTTTGTTCTCTATTCCATGTTTATTTTGGTTTAAATTTGGTAGATGAAAACCTGATTTAAGAAATAATTATGATGCATGGGTATGGGTTGATATGGTAATTTGGTAAGTGTGTTTTGACTATTTAATGCACCGGAGATAAAAAAAACAACAAAAAGACTTCATCTGAGGAAGAAGAGACTAACAAAAGGTTTCCAAGTAGCGTCCATTAGCTGGTGAGTTTTAGGATGCAGGGAATACTTGAGGATCAGTAATATGTACATTTGGCAGTTTCATCCCTGAAAACCTTTTTACCATGAAGCTGTAATTGCTAATAAAATTGAACTAAATTAGTTTTGATGCGCAGAAGATCTGAGAAATGAACTATGAAGGAAGAGTGATCTTGAGATCTGGACTTGAGTAGAGCCTATTGTTTGTATATGCCCTTATTGCAAACACCTTGGTAGAAACTGCTTCTGACAACTCCTCTTGTGGGAAGAGAAGCTATCTTAGGAAGGGCTAAAATCTCACTGGGTTTGAAACTGCATTTGCAGAGCATTCTCTGCCATTGATTTTCAGGCTTCTCTGCTGGCATGCTCCTTATTAATAGGTGGGTTTTCCTGCCTTCAGCTTAAGAAAGATCTGAGTTTTGGCTTCAGATATCCAGTTTCCTATAGACATTGATGTTAATTCCCAGTTCAGCTGATCTTTTGTTTTTTTTCTCTGGCTCTGGTAGCTGAGCCTGCCTTTCCAATACTTAGTGCTCTGTGTGGTAGTTTGATCAGATTATGGTGCAGCTCTTATCTATTTGGTATCAGCAGTATGGGGAGTGTTACAGAAGATGCAAGGCAGAATAAGAGATTTGTAGCAGTTGGGCTAGATCAAACTTAGTACCAGCTTCAGTCCTTCATATTCAGGATAGGAAGAAAAAGAATAAACTGCTGTAGCAAGTCAGCATTTAGAGTTTTCTTGTGGCTTTTTATTAA